TATGATTACTTTCTGATATTATTTTATTTAATCTCTCTATTACCTTTGATTATTATAACTAAAACATTTTAATAATCTTACTTCATTCACACTATAATCTATTGCTAACTTATTAATTTTACATGGCTTTCTATTTGCACATTATAATATTTTATTGTTATTACTCACATTACATGATCTAGTATTTTAATCTTTCTATTACATCTTCATTTTTATTCCCTGTTCATATGTCCTTATGAAACTAAACTTTAACAAAATCTTCATGAATATATATGCGATTGTATAGGTTGATAATAAATTCTTTGAAAAAAGATCCCTTAGTTGAACTTCGTGTTTTAAAAGTTTAAATGGTAATTATATGTCAACAAATATGTAACGATTCTTAACTTTTAAAAGATTTCACAAGTTGAAATCATGAGTCAGTTGAAGCTAGACCACCATTGAAAACCTGGAAGCACTGGACGGCCGTTTCGTCCTGGTATGGGACTCCTCAGCTTCCAGGTTTTCAATGGTGGTCTAGCTTCAACTGACTCATGATTTCAACTTGTGAAATTTCTTAAACTCTCCACAAAACCCATTCTGATTTTAAAAGATTGTTTTATTAGTATTAACTTGTAGTTCATTGAATGATTGTTCATTCATCAACTACGTTTAATCATTAACAATCCCAAAGATTTCAATTGCTAATAATGTAACTCATAGGTTATTTGTTAATAAAATTTTATTTTTTTTCATCTGTAATGTAGGAGATTAATCAATTTGTAATTAGTGTTGTATTGCCTAGTTTAACTACTTAAATGATACTAAATATCTACATTGAAAATATTCAGTTCTTATTTAGTATCTGTTTACGTATATCAATAAAATATCCAAGGTTTAACCAACGAATCGTGTTGTAGTCATATGTTCAGTTGTTGCAAAACAAACCGATCAAATATTCAAAGTTGTACACCTATATTGTTTTATATGTAATGAATTTAGAGCACGGGTCTTATGTTTTAAAGTAAATAGATTGTAGCTAGTAGTGGGATTCATTCTGGCATATTTCGGACTCGTCAGGCGGATGTATCTGGGACTCAATATTGTTGTTTATTTAGCAGTACGTTATCCACTGAGCTACTGAAACCGGATACATATGATACTTATATCATTGAGAGTTTAAATTATTCTATAGACAAAATGATTAAATCGTAGTAATCCACATAGAATTCACATATATCAACGAAGATTAATCAAAAATTCAGTCGCCATAATCAATAACGGAATACTTTGAATCCTTACCAATCATTTTTATTTTCCCAAATAACTGATTCCGTATTAAATTTATCATGGTAACAGAGAAAAATATTAATTTATTATAGAAGTAGGTTATTAACCTAGTTTAAAACCATGTGATTTCACACATATATCGCCTATTGATTGTAGGAAACTGATTTATATATTTCATTATTTTTTAATAATTGCATATATATTTGTATGGTATTATATTATTATTCTTATTTTTATAATAATACTATGATATTCAATGTTAAATTTCATGTTTAATTTCACTGTTCATTTTAGGAGTAATAATTCAGTCATATTATTTATTTACTGACATAATTAATCTGGATGACTTTTTTTTAGTCAGTTCTAAGGTTCATATTTGACTGTTATTATGTAAAATATGTAGATATGTTTTATAACTTAAATGAAATTATTCACATTTTGTAAATCATATAACCAACAAATAGGGATAAATGTAATAGAGTATAACAATTATGATTGTTTGTACTTCATGTGTTTAAATGAAAGTTCATTGATGATAATGATACTAAATGATAAGAATATAATCTTTGATAGTTCTTTGAATAAGTATGTGAAACATGACCTGATAAAGTGAAAGACCCATTCTGTGTTGTTGATGATCATTTACAGATGTTTTTCGAAACATTGGTTATATCTGAATATGTTGAAATGAGTAATGATGAACTATGTTAGATACAAATATGAAATCAGCTTATAATGTTTCAGGCTGTTAGCAGATGATGTGTTTGTGTTGTGTACCCGTTTTCCACAATCAAACACCTCAACCATTAATAAACCAGATGAGCGAAAGGCTAGAGGCGACCAAACAGAGGCAAGATAACACTCATTGAAGTCATAGACGGTTGGTTTGAGCCGTGTTTAAAGGTTCATACTCCTAGTTTGAAGTTCGCAATATAATTATTATCTCTCGTAAAAAGAAATAACTGAAAATCTGTTGTAATACTGATAAACAAGTTTCCTATACTCAAGCAACGCCAGCTTCTTGAGTTACAATGAAGATGTATAGGCTAAATCTAATCGAGGATGTACGTACACATATTCATAAATATACATATTTATTAACTTTAAAAGAAAACTTACAACCCAAAAGTAAAAGCTTAGGTTGATAGTTTTCTATTGTTCTTTCTTTATTTTACATCAATACTTATAGTGAACGGATTATCATTCATTGATATTATTCTTTTTTTTTCTTCACCTCCTTGATAACTAATCATCCGGAAGAAATCAATGTCTTTAATTTTGGCCTTTAACCCTTCATTTTAATGACTATCATGTTTACTTCAGTTTGTATTTAATGATTAATTATGTATTAATTTCTCTTTATATCTTTTACATCAGTAATTGTGTACAATACACACATACACATAGTGTACGGTTTATGTGAATACTACACATTCGCTATTTTTTGTTGTTTATTATTAAGCGTTTACTGATATTCAATCGATTTGTGTTTTAAAGCATTCGGCCAAAATTTTGTGATCATTTCAAGAGATAATACTTCATATTTTTAGTATGTAAATATGTAGGCTGAATGTGTGTGTGTGTGTGATAGTAAATGCATGCATGAAATATTTTCATGTTTTATGAATGATGTTTTATTACATGTGGCAGCATATTGCATAACAATTATTGCAGTCTATTGATAGTCTCTCTCTCTCTCTCTCTCTCTCTCTCTATATATATATATATATATATATATATATATATATATATATATATATATATATATATATATATATATATAACTTTCGTAATACTACAATAGTAATTACATGGTATTCATTCATTTATTAGTTTTCTAGTAGATCTAATTTGTATGTCACCAACTAACTACGTATTGATTGAGAAATCAGACGATATGGTTTTCATTATAATGGTAATGAATATTAAAATTTACATTTTTATTAACGATAAAAGTTTGTTATAATGAATGCAAGTGTTGTTAACTGGGACGAATGAAAATTCACTATAGACAATCAAAGAATAATAAAGTACTATTTAGGTGAATGATTTATATGAAGATGTATTCAAGTTTGCTGTATACTACTAAAAAATCGCTCGTAATTAACGTGTAGTGGAACGTGGCGTTGGAACTATCACCAGAACTATCGCCAGATGGAAAGAAAAGTTTCAGTACGTCGAAAATCACAGTGTATTCAGAACACTTAGCGAAGAGTAGAGAAGACAGTCAGTCAGTCAGCTACAACGTAGGACCACATATGTGCATCGGTCCAAGTTGCCATACCTCATTAGTACAACAAGATGAACACCGAATTCATAAAAATAGTTAATTCAGAGGTGTTAATATATAAAAGAAAGATTACAATAAGGATATAGTACAGGAAGAAAGAGTTAGTTCGTATAAAGAAATATATGAAGCGATTTTAATCTCTTAGTTTAAGGGAAGACAGGGAGTGTATACACCGACACCATTGTGATTGATTCTGAGCCATGTCACCCAGAGTCCCCAACCATTGGTTACGATAGTCACGCGGACCCCAACCAAGTAGTCTGCACCTACCAACATGGCTCAGACTAGAAGTTAGTGACTTCAAGCACTGATGCCACGTTTTGGTTTGGTCGCGCCTAACTTTCTTCCAACCATCCCGAACATCGGTTAGCATTGCACGTCGTGGTAATTGATGTTCAGGCATACATAACATGTGACCCAACCATCTCAGTCGATGAAGACAGCTTAGAAATCACTTGATTGCAGAACGCACCTTAAGATGCAAATGTTAGATAAACACTGTAATTTCGCCAAAATTAATATTTCATTCTTTTCGGTACCTTGTACAACAGTAGTGGTGGAGTTCAGTCATGTTGGCATAGATGATGAGTGAGATCGGATAATTGTTGCAATACATTTTGAAACGACTAATATTGGTAATGTAAAACAGTGGGTTCGGAGTTGAAGGTATTGTATTCTCCTTGAAATTAAACGGCTTTGTAATGTTTCCTGATTTTTTATCGGTTCTTTAGATGATTGATGTCAGTCTGTGACAAATAACAGTTAACTTTACAAACTCTCGATTATATACTTTTTTTAAAGTTTTATTTTATAGAATAGATGAAATGTGGCCAACAGGTGAAATCCAAGACGAACGTTTCGTCCTATTTGCTACACATCAGCTGAATTTAGATGCATCCCTGAGTTAATGTTCACACCGACATTCGAACCCAGTACCACTCACTTCAAAGACTTAAACCTATTATCCATTTAGCTACTAAGTTCGGATAGATATTAGCTTGTGTTAAGGGTATACATTTCAATTCAATTCACATTGGTTTAAATTATCCGGTTGATGAACTCTTTCAATCTTTTGTTTGCTTGTTTTTGTTTGATTCTACACATAATTCTAATTTGAAAACATCAATTTAAACTATGTTTTCATATAGTTGTACTATTGTTTACATAATAAAAGATAATATAATGCATATAATAAATATTGATACGAAATCAAGTAACTATATCAGTTAAACAATTATGTATATTTATTTGATCTTGATAAAGAGGATTTAATTTCGTTAGGATGGTTTATTATTATTATTATTGAATATTTTCTGATTTTGAGTTTGACCGATTTTATTTATTTCTATTATGACCTAATAATATTTTCGTTTATTTGAAACTTATCTGTATAAACAACCTAAACATTTTTTCTATTATTATGTTTTTGTATTCATTTTAGGCAGAAGAGATATTCCGTAAAATAATTTCTATTTTAGGTTTGCCAAACAATTCACAAAATTTAGCATCAACAACGAGTGGAATAAACAATGATGATAATATATCTCAGACTAGTAGATCATCTATGTATACTACAATTGATGCGGTTTGGGATGGTCAATTTCCACCTAAAGCACCTCAACCAGAAGATATTATTGTGGTAGATGAATCAGTGAATCCACCACCAGTAGTGACAATAGAAGTTCCTCAAGAGGATCGGAATTGTAGGTGACATTGATTTTTGTTAAGATTTTTGTCAATTATTAATCCATAAACTGTTTCGAAATATCTAAACGATAATATTCATGTTGAGTGATGACTTAATCGTTAAGGTGTTCGAGTTTCACTAAGTCCCAACTTTGAACCCTGTTCCATCTACTTGGGCTTAAGCAACCGCATAGAATAATTAGCCTTTACACTTGAAATGTGGCTTACATTCAAGTACCTCGTGAGTGAGTTAATAGAAAATTAATGTATATTTATATACTACTGTATTGTTGATGCTTAAGTGAATTTTCTTCATGTATATTATGACCCTGTGTACAGCTAGGTGAGGTTATATTTTCTTTTCGCAACACAACAACAATTAAGTGATATTGAAATCGGTGTCATTATCCATTTAGTTTTATCTGAGGTATATTTTGTAATGCAACTATTTATTCTTATGAAATAATCTACCTGGAGATCCTTTGATTCACTCTGGACATATAGGTGAAATGGTTTGTTTTAGGCAACTACATCGAAATTCCAAGTTTTGTTGGGATGTTTATAGTGGATATTTGACCACTTTAATAAAGAGTCAGCTTTTTAAAATGAATATCTGTTAGTACATATTTCGATATAAAAAACTGAGGTTTTTCAGTGTATCAGCTATTTTAACATAATTCAGCAATTTCATCTGCCCATGAAGTGATCGTTTGACCTGAGCCCCAAGTTGTTCAATGACTGATCAACTGGCTATCCTATCCATATTCACTTACAGCCTCTGTCTTGTCTCTTATTATTTGTTTTTCAGCCAGAAAAATCTGTGTTTTCGTTATACCTTCAAAAAGAACAGATTATTGAATTATTTTGTGGACAGTATGATCGGGCATTTACTAAAGGAGCAGTAGTATTCTCTGATTATTGATTAGTTCGCTCTATTCCTGTATAACCGACGACCTTCGATTTCGCCAATGACCAATGAACAACGGGTGAAAAACACCTATTAGCCCTCGAGCTACGTCTAACCCCGTTTTTATTCGAAAGATAAGATCCGTGTTGTGTAGCCGTCCAGTTATATGACTCAGTTCGTGCAGTAATATAGAATTACATCCTGACCTGACCACCGACTAACATAAATAGGGAATTACAGTACGCTCATAAGCGGTAGGTCCGTAATCAGTGAATCGTAACTTTAAAAATATCAAACATATATTGATAGTTTATATGCGGGAAAAAGATTACAATAAAGATAACATAAGGATACAATAATCCAAATGTCTAACAATTGTACAATAAAAACCGAAGGTCCTATATTCGATTCCCGACGGTACGGTCGTGAATGAGTATTTCTAAGAGTTCCCGTACTAGGACAAAAGCCCTGCGCATTTCTTTCAGGTTTTTAACAGTGATGTAGCTAACTGTAAAATACTGCAAATTTTTCATACTAAAAATATAAATGATAATTTTTCACAAGGTAATTCCTCAAGTTACAACTTTCCTGATAATCGTCCGTTTTAACAGCTTCCTATAATGTGCATTCAATAGAACATTGGCTCTTAAACCAATGTACATAATATGTGTTGATAAACAGTATGGTACTTGATATACATGTTAAATATAAATCAAACTTATGTAATAATGTAATTCGATCTCAGTACTTTTAATTTATTCATATGAATTAATATATCATTTCGTATTATTTACTTCTCTTCATTCAGAACTTACTCGTTGAAATTGAACCAAACATCAGTTAAGGAAGGAGAGACACAAGGAAAATTCATATCAATTTGATAAAATCTAAAATTTTCCTTCATATAACTTTGACAAATAAGTGAATAACGGCAATAATGATAATAATTTCTGTCTGAGTTGAATTACATGATTGATACTTCATTCTCTCACTCTCCCTCTGTGTGTGTGTATAATGTTTTCACTTTTCGCTTACTCTTTAACTTTCTTATGTCTTTCTGTCGTCTATGGGTTGTTGATTTCTGTTTTATTTTGAAAAAAAACTTACACACATTTTCACTTCTGGGTGAAGAATATTATCAAAGCAATGGGAAAATCACTTTTTATTTTTTGTTTGCCTTTTTATTCTTTCCTGTTTACATCACATCTTTTTTTCGTAAGGCGGGGGACGAACATTTTCTTATTGTTAATGAAATGAATGATATGATCTAACTAAATAGTTTATTTTGCGTTTTTTTCTCTCAAAGAAATACTCTATTTTTGAGGTTGATAGTTGCATCTTGTTCTGTTTTTATCTCCATCGATGGATATGTATGCCGATGGCATTGTTTATATGTGAAATATTGTCGCACGTTTTCTGGTGTATAAAACTAGTTTATTGATGTCAAAGGTCGACAAGTCACTGAATGCGTATGGAGGTAACTAGTTATTTAGATCATAGCGGTCGTTATTTAAGTAGAGAAAGAATTGGGCGCATTTAAAAAAATAAAAAAAATGGTGTTCATCATGGGATGATAGCAGCTTCTTCGTTCAAGTTTTAAACTACCCAACAGTGATCACTCACAGTAATAAGAAGTCGAAATCAGGACTTTGATTTTTTGAAATGAGCATAATATTTTTAGAGCTTTGAGTTGAAATAAGTCCATCCGTGGTAAAAAAAAAATTTATTTCGACCGTATAAATTACTTCATAAATAAGTGTTGTACTCACTGGTAACTAACACCGAGATGAATTCCTTTAATTTTAGTGAAAATTCTTGACTGATGGAGTTCAACCTTGTCACAATTGTAAGAGTTATTAAATGGTCTGAATACTAACCATTCAACTCTAATTCAGGGATTTAAATGTATTGTGCTTTCCATGGCAAACTTAGAAGATCTTGAAGTGATCATATGTGGAACGTTACTAACGAGTTTAAAATCCAATTAAACACAGATCTACAATGATCATTGGCTTACAAACTATCTTCATTCATAATGTATATAATCTTTAGAAATAAACATTTTCACAAAGCATCTTTAGAATAAAATTGGAATAAAGCAAAGAACAACAACTTAAGCATAATAATATGTAGGTTATCACGATTTTCCTTTAATCTTATTCTCGCTGAAAAGTAACATATTATCATTGAATAACAAACAACAGTGACTGAATGGTCGAAGTAACACGGGTTATCAGTATAATATAATTTATATGCATATTTAAGATCGTTTGAACATAGATTAAGTCAATACAAACGGAATGCAACAGCACTTGTCTAGGATTGGAAAGTTGATAAGATGCACTGTACAGTAATTCTCGAAAAATTTGACAAGTTTGGATAAAATTTTAAGAATTGTATTTATGAAAAACACTGATTGAATGAAAAGTTAATTTTCAAGTGGATGGTCAACTTTTATAACATAAGAACAAGAATTATTAAAGACGGTATGATGGAATATATCAGTTCACTATAGCAGATTCAAGTAGACATCTGTTTCTTTATAAAGGTATAGGTTCATTTCGAGTAGATCAATGACTTCTGCTTTAGCTAAGCGTTTCTTTGTCTGTTAATTACTTTGAGAGATTTAAGAATATCGACACTATTTCCAGTCGATTGAGTTTCCACTATTTAAGACTGTAGCACATTTCAGATTATTTGTTATATACTCTTAAATACATGTTTTCTCAGTGATGTCATTTCACAACCGTACAATCGACTAAAACAAATACGTCAATTGTTCTGAATAGAATTTTAATTCTGAATGAGTTTGGTTAACAAGATATAATTATGTAATTTTGAGTTTTATTGTTTACTAAGTAATCAGATGAAAGCTTGTTAAAGTAAGAAGTTTAATAGGTATATGGTTAGTTAAAGCTTCATTCTAGTGTTCAGTTAATTGCCCGTAGTGTTTACATAAGTATATATTGAAAAGCCTAAAATTAAGTCTAGAATTTGGCTAGTTATTTGAAGTGATTACATAACAACGACGATTAAAAATACGTTTGAAACCTATTAGACGTGACCCAATTTCGTCTTGTTACATTTTGAAGTAAATTGTTCTGTCAATAAGAATTGAGTCAAGATTCCTAGAAAAAACAATAAGGAGTGTGTTTATTGGAGCCCTTGAGACCGGACCGTTAGATAGGAGAGCAGATATATTGATCTAGTTCAAGTATTAATTAACTCCCTTCGGCTATCTATCTTGTACTAATGTTACGCTAAATGTGAGATAATAGTCGAAAAACTGGTTATTAGTTCAGAATGTTGTTTCTCATGCTCACTCACCTAATAGTCACAATGGAGAACAACTCAGTATGTATAATTTGTAAATCACTCATGCAGTAATATAGAGCGAAATCTTGACCAATTATTGACAAAATTTCAAACGAGCTTCAGTTGATCAGCGAATGTAGAACATTTATACTAATACGTTTGAGTCTATAAATTGTTTTTCATTTATAAAATGCGTTTAGTGTTTACAAAATTTATTATTCCTTAACATTGAATTTCGAAATGTGAATTGAACACTATTCTTTGTAGACTAAATCATCCTACGGAAATTAATGGACAACTTTCTCTTGATAAATTGATATTTGAAACAAATCAGAGCTATTGATGATTGGAGTGTAAGACATATTTAAATCTATAACAACGTAGGTAAACATAATGAGGAAAAACAACTTATTTTTATTGAGATCATGTATCAATTGATGTTAGACCACCGTTGGAAACCTGGAAGCACTGGATGGCCGTTTCGTCATAGTATGGGACTCCTCGGCAGTGCGCATCCACGATCCCGCTCTCCGCGAGGTTCGAACCCAGGACCTATCGGTCTCGTGCCAGGCGCGAGACTCTGTAAGTCGATGTAAATGGTTCCAAATAAGCAATTATTCCAGCTGATATCAGTACATCACCAATAGGATTATCATATAATTTTTCAAGATATTTAGCTGCATGATGCCAATGGTCTTTCTCACCACCTAAGCAACCTATCAACTTTGTAGCTCTTTCTAATTTATACTTCATCTTTCAGGCACTTTTTCCCGTTTTGTGTCGATTTAAGTTAATTTTGTAAATTTTCTAATTTAGCTTCAACTAATGCATCACGTGTCTTTTTAAACATGCCAAATTCTATGTTAATTCAACTTCAGCTAATTTAATATGCTTTGGTGCTACAATTTTAGCTACACGATCATACTGTTCCATAGCTAATATCCACTTGCATAAACCTTCCAGCAGCTGAACTAGCACGAGCTACTTTGATCGGGTCGAATTCACTTTGAAATACAATTTAATTCGGCATCATTAACTTTCATCTAAATCGGTTTTCAAAATGAATTCATGAAGAAAAAATGTAACTTTTGTTTGATAAAACAAACACAACAACAAGAAACAAGATAAATATGTTACAGTGAGAATAAGATTTATTTATTGATTTCCATAAGAACTGATGTTTACAAAAACATTTTTGTTTAAAAAAAAAACTTATTCTTATCAGTTTCATTGCTTATCTTAAATTGTGATCTATTTCTTTTAATACTGATAATAAATTGTCTTTGGACATTTCAGACTATTGCACAAATGTGATTATTTACTTAAGGGTGAAATACATATTTATCGAACCCTCCCTCTCTCTGTATATATATATCTGGAATTTTATTTCAAGGAGAATTGTACTTTCGAAATATGGTTTTTTGCAATTGATCGATCATTGAGTAGTGATTAATTTCAGGTAGTTTAAGTTCTTTTTGGTAATGACCAATCAAGTTACAATGTGGCCACTAGTCTAAGTGATTCGACATTACGTACACTATGTCGAGATGTGAAGCGGTGGTTTGATATAGTTTACAGGATATCATGAACCGAGATTTTGTACTAATTGGTATTCGTCAACAAGGTGTATCTATGATCTTGAGATGACTGGCACTTCCATGCATATTTGATTGATTCTATGTCATTCAGCTTCATGATCTGAGACGTTACCACTTAGTTATCCAAGGAAGCACATATCTTCTGTAAAAGTTGGATATTTACAATTCTGTTGATTATATCCAACCACCTAACATCTCAACATATTCAATATAATGTCAAGTCATTTAACTGACGGAACTCGATTAACGCTGAAGGACTAAATAAACGTGAAATTGATCACTACTCAGTCAGTCGGAAACCTCATTTTTGATGACTTACAGTCGTAAATCATCTAGCTTTGTTGATTTCTTTCGAATCCATTAAACCTGATTATCATCCATTCATAGACTTTTTCTTTCAAGTTTTGACCACTTATCTACATTTCGATCAATGAATGTTTCAGGTCCTCTCAACTGAGAGACATCCTTATTGCGTTTAATTACTGATACTCACCACTTAATAATATTATATATTAAAATAGCATTTTAAAATAATTTGTATGACTTAGAAGAGATTTACCTTAATGATTGATGACAGTCGAAATTTCATCGATATATATATTGGTAAAAAGAAACAATATTTATAGAGTATAATCACTTAGTTTAAAATGTTTCATTGTATAACAAGTAGCTACTTATTTTTTATTGACTAAGTAATCTGGTGAAAATACTTTTCTACATATATTTAATTAGGCCAACAACCATTTTAAGTATTTTACTTAATTAGTGAATTGAACAACCGCAATTATAACATAAAGACATGCTTATCATTATGGAGTTGTGTAGATTGTTAAGTTTTTGATTTAGATCATAAATCGATTGATATTAGACCACCATTGAAAACCTGGAACCACTGAACGCCCGTTTCGTTCTAGTGTGGGACTTCTCGGAAGTGCACATCAAAGATTCCGCATTACCAGGACTCGAACTCAGGACCTTCCGTCTTGTGCTCCAATGGTGTTAAGACATAAACTTAGTTACGATTACACATGGAAATATTAAATAGGTACATTTCAACTGACCCAAAGGGTATTTGAAACCGTCTACTGAATGATCTACAAAATTCAAGAAATAACTCCTCAACACGTCATTTGTTATAGTTATAAAGCAATTATTTAAAAATCATTCTACTTAATTATACACTTTACCAAAAGTCTAGGTTATCAATTTGTGTACATTAATTAAAATTGAAAAAAAACACTGCTTGATAGTAAGAAATCAGTGCATTTAGTTTGGTCAAGCATAAACATGAAATTAACAAACAAGAACACAGTACTGGTTTATTATGTATAGACATGTTTTTGACGTTGAAAAGAACAACCTTAAAAATTATACCATTAATAGTAAGTGGTATCAGTTTCATCAATTACTTTATAAATAAACATAAAGATAACCTGTTTCTTTACAAGAATAAACAACCGTAGACACTAACCATTGCATTTTGAGAAATCAAAAATCATGTGTATGTATTTT